CCCCCCCCCCCCCCCCCCCCCCCCCCCCCCGCCAGCTCTGGCAGCCCAGAAGATACCTATGGAGCTAGAAGCCGCCACGACCACCCTGTGCCAGGTGGTGTTAAAATGGCTGTATGTTGTGGAGGGAGGAGGAAGAAAGGGGCAGCTGTGAGGTTGTGAGGAGAGGGGCAATTGGCCTGGATGTCCTCAATGAGGAGGGGGATGCCCTCGATGGGGGGGGATGCCCTCGATGGGGGGATGCCCCAACTCCCTATACTTAGCAGAGCGAAGCCATAGTAGGAAGGAAAACAGCTAGCACACCCCTAAACCTGAGGCTCTCCCTTTACTTCAAGGGGAGTCCCCTCTGAAAATCCCAAGAATAGTTTCCCCCCTAGCTCTTTCTGCCTCCTTCTCCTCCCTGGCCGGACCTGGCACTTTTTCCTCTACTTTCACCTCCCTAACCCCTACTCCCCCCCCCTTAAGAACTGTTCCCAGGCAATACACTCCCAAAGTCTCCATTCATGCCCCACGCCCAGTACATGCCAATACTCTGGTGGGAAAAAGGGAGTCAACCACCTTGAGGGGGAAGGGTGGGATCAAGGAAGGTGGGATTCCCCTGCTTTTTCCTCCTTTCTTCTCTGGGGGGTGGGGGTGGAGGTGAGGGATTTTAGCATCCTAAGGGGCCTTGACATTCTCTGCTTTGAAGGCACCACAGACATTACATCTCCAGTGGAGAGCCCAGATGCTGATTGGTTACTGGGGGGAGAAGGGTAAGGGGATTAAGAAGGAGAAGGCATGACCTGCCTCTCCCCCTGGAGCATGCAAGGAAGATAGGATCACGGGAAAGGGAGAAGCACATTCCCAGGGTCTTCAGATAAGGCCCCCAGGAAGCCCCATCCAATATTGGCCCCACCAGGGTCGGGCTGCAATTACTCAGACCACCAGCAGGCTGCAGCATAGGGACGGGAGATTGTTCTCTGTGGGCTGGGGGAGGGGAGAACTTGCCTATGTCTCCCCACCCCCATCTACCCAGGCTGTTGAGAGGCTGCTCCCTTAAAGAGGCCTGTAATGGGAGATGGGATGCGCCCCAGGCTTCCCCACTTTCAGCACCCCCTCCAGCTTTCCTAGAGTTCCTGCTGGACCGTATCTTGGAACTGTTGTGAAGGGCCCCATTCCTATCTTGCCTCCCTCCCTGAGAAATGGGAGGGTCCCCCAAACAGATCTGCTTGCCCCTCCACTGGGAGAGAGGGAAATTTAACCCTTTATCTGCTGCAAGGGAAGCATGAAGGTGGGAATAGAAGAACTGGGGCTTAGAAAGGGGCGAATGGCATGGGGAGGGTGGGGGAACCCAAAAGGGCCCAATCCTCCTCCCACCAAATGCTGAGGTTTGCTCCCTCCCAGCAGACCCTATCCACCTAATCTTCCAGATCAGCAAAGCTTCATCTGCTGCTGGGATACGAAGGCCTGGGGGAGAGATGGGAAGATTGGACGCAAGAGGCATTTTGATGGGCATGCCTGGTGCTCAGTGAGGCCAGGGTGGGACCTCAGCCCAGCCCTCAGTCTCCTAGGGGCCTTGAATGCCTCTGGGCCCAGAGCAGTCTCCCCTCTTTCTTTTTCCTCTCTAAGAGTGTGAGGGAGGGAAATGAAGGGAAATTGATGTCAGGCCTAGGGGGCACGGTTCCCATTCTTTGCTTTCAATCCTTCCCCTGCAGCCACCCCTCACCACAAATCCCACCTCCAGCCTCTGCTTATGCTTACTTACCAGGAGAGAGGGAAAAAGGAAGGGGGAGGGACCTAAAACAGCCAGGGTCACACACACAGATATCCAACAGATACCACCACCTGCTCCAAAGTCCTGAGGACACTGTTGTCCAGTGACTGAGCAGGAGATGGGCTTGCTATTTTCCTAGGGACTAGTAGGTTACATCCCCACCCCCAATCAACCTTCTCCTTGCCAGAGTTACCAAACACCCCCCAGGAAGCAACAAGAAGGAGAGACTCAATCCTGCTGGCCCAACATGCTGAAAGCTGCTCCCACCTCAAAGGACTATAACCCTACGTACCTCCCACCCACCAGGCTTCACCCCCTGCTGCCCATCTCCCAGGACCTTTGCCATTCTTTCATCTCTTCCTCCTGAGACTTAGATTGGACTGAGCTGGAGTTGGCCCCAGGTGAACAGTACATATGTCCATAGAAACACACATTCTCCCATCATTGGAAACTGGAAGGGGACTCAGAGGCCAAGACCCTCATTGGAGAAGTGAGCAAGTTGGGGCCCAGAGAGGCAAAGGGACTTGCTCAAAGTCACACAGCAAGTTAATAGCACAGCTAGGGACAGAAAGAAGCTAGGTCAAGTGATACTCAGGTCAGGGCCATTTTCATGCATGCCCCGGGATTCTAAGTTTCCACCATCCAAAATTGACTTATTCAAATGGCATTGAAGGCCAAGTTAGAATGCCACTCAGATGCTAAAAGTACCTCTGTTCCCCGGGAAGGAAAGCCACTTAATCTCTGAGTATTAGCTAAGCAGAGATCCCTGGAAGTGCTGGGAAACAGACTGGAGTCCAGCTGAGAGGGAAGTTCTGATTGTAGGGGTGGCCCCCACCAAGCCAAAGGCAACATGGGTGCTCCGGGATGACTAACAATTTCCCACCCCCAGCCTCCTCCGGCTCCTCTACTCCTATCTCAGCAGGATCAGAGCCTGTGGCAGAAAGCCAACCACAGTTCAGTAGCTTCAGAACTCATGGAAAATATTCTCTCACTAAGCCCCGACCCTCCACTTGGCTCCATTCCATTCCTACTGCCCCCCAAAGCTCCCCTGCAGTTCAGTCACCCAGGGCAGCTGGGCAGGACCAGGTCTAATTCAGCACTGGCCCAGAAGGGGAAGTGGCCTGAAGGCAGGTAGAAGGAGGGGGTGGGGGTGGGGGCCTAGGCCACAGAGCAGCAAGGAAACATTCCCACCCTACCCCCACAGCCTTTGGCCTTCTCTTTCACCTCACTCCCTTAACCTCCCCACTGCTGTCCTTTGCCATACAAAAAGGGCTGTCCTTCAAGGAGAGAGACCTGGTGTCTAAGAGCTGCTCAGTCACTGACTCACTCACTGGGTGAATTTGGACAAGCCTCTTCCCCACAGGGATTTCCTCACTATTACCTCTAGAGCAGGCCTTAGAGATCACACAACCAAACTCCCTCATTTTACAGCAGAGGAAACTGAGGCCCCAAGAGGCGAAGGGCTTTGCCCAAGATAATGCAAAAAGTGACTGGCAGAACAGGGATCTGACTATCCACAACTCCTACTCTCACCACATTTTTTCGTGCAATATTTGTAAGAAATTTGAAACTATTGTGCCTCATTTTCCATAGCTTTCAAATGGGGGAAAATCACATTTATCTTGCCTGACTCCGAAGGGTCAGGAGATTCTCCTGAGCACGTGGATGGGGAAGGGGTCCTCCTCACTGCCAGACCACCAGCAGAGGTCATCTCATCCATCTCCCTGCCTTCAAGCAGGAGATGCCCCAAAGTGGGGAGGGAGAACCACCTTGGGAGTCAGGGACTCCTCCTCACTGGAGAGATGGTGTAAAGGGGGGTAGTCGTGCTCCTGTTGGAATGAGACTAAATGAACTTTGAGATCCCACTCAGCTCAAGGATTTGGCGGTCCCACTTCCTTCTGCATCCTCTCTACACAACCAAGCCCCAAAATGGGGAGGAAAGACAGTGAACCTGTCTATTCCACCCAGAAGCATAGCTCGGCTCTAGTCAGCATAGTCTGCATTTGGGATTGGGTGGCTCTACCTAGGATGGGCATTCATTCCCTCATATTTCACACACTGTAACCCTCCCTCCCTCCCCCTCTCCCACTCCTCCCACATTTTCCAAGGATGCTGGAAACCAGGCAATGTCATCTCAGGCAAGTCACCTCCTTCACTGGTATGTACTACTTAATGCCCACACATAAAAGGGAAAAATTGGATTTGGTACAAGGAAAAGAACAATGGCTTCAGAGACAGAAGACCTATGTTCAAATACCGGCAATATTATTTACTACCTGTATTGCCTTGAACAAGTCCCTTTCCTTCTCTGGGCCTCAGTTTCCTCATCTGTAAAATGAGAGGCTTGGACTCAGTCTCTTATGGTTCTATAACCCCCTGCTGCCTTCTATGCTGCTCTGGGACATTGTCACCTGATCATACCCTTATACAGAAGATGGGGGTAGGAGGGAGTGGAGAATCCTATCTGCTTTGCCAAGTCCTCCTCACTCCTTAAGGGCAAGATCATAGTTAGATAATGCAGGAGGATAAGGGGACTGCCTCTAGGAGCCATTTTTAGAGAAGACAAAAAGCTGGGCTGGCCAGGGAAAGAAACGGAATACAATTTTCCCAACATACAAGCTCTGCTTCATTCTTAGCTTGGGTAAGTCCCTTGGTCTCTCTGGGCTTCAGTTTCCTTACCTACAAAATGACAGAGTGAGGTCGAATGAGCCTTTCCAAATTATGTTTATTGTTTGATTACCAAAGAGCATTTCAGTCTATAAGGGCTCTCTCCTTCAAACCACGTGTCTCTCAGGGTGTGTTAAGGTGACACCAGATAATTTTGTTTGACAATCCTCTGATTATCAGTATCCATCTAAGTATAAACAGAGGGACATATGCTTGCTCAAAATGTCCACTGCTATCATGGAGGGTGTCCACTGCAGAGTCCAAAGGGAAGAGGACTTCCTTGAGGATGGCAAGGTCCTCCAGATGCCCCTAGTAACAGATGCTCCTGGCTACAGGGCCACTCAAAATGAATCAGCCTAACACATGCACATGGGAAAAACCAAATGGATGAAAAATGCTTATCGTCCAGTGTGTGCCATGCAGTTGGATGGGCAGCCCATGAAGTACACAGATTTTGTATAAACTCTGTAGTTGGACTGCGAGCTGGGGAAGGAGGAGTCAAGATGGTGAAGTAAAGGGAGAGACTCACCTGAGTGCTCCCAAATTCCCCTCCAGAAAATTTCAAAATAACATCTCAAATCAAATTCCAACCAATCCCTCAACCAACAAAAGGTCAGGGTGAAACAATTTTCCAGCCCAGGTCAACTTAGGAGGTCAACAGGAAAAAATCTCACTGA